GAATAGTATTTAAATATTTGGTTTTTAATTTGGTGAAAATTTTTACGGATTTTCAAACGTAAAGTGGCATGGCAGCAGAACGACGTGTTTGCTGAATCGATGCGATACAATAGACATGATTTTGTTTTTCATACTCCCTTTTTTTGGTTTAACGAAATTTTAATTCAAGCTGTTGAATTTGGACTCAAATTACTTTTGTAGAAAACAGCTGAGTATAATCCAGTTTGTGGAACAGACAACAAAATGTATAATAATCCATCATATTTAGCGTGCGAAAGAGAATGTAGATCACGTAAGTAATCAAATAACATATGTGAATATTTAAAATATAATTTGTACCTAACAAAACTTTTTTTTTGTACTGAATAATCTAGGTGTACAAGTAAAAAATGTTGGTCGATGCCCGAGTTCCTAAGTATCGTATATTTTTTTTAAATATACTAAGTCAATAAAATGTACCCATTAAACTAAATGTTTATTTAAGAATTGATGTAAAGTGTATATTCCTGTAAAGTACTGAACCTTGTAAGAAAATGTAACTAAATTTTTGGACATATTAAAGATTTTACACTCAACGTCTTTATTTATTAATTATACATTTTTNATTTTGTAATTTTCGTTATTTTGTTTAGGAACAGATATATATAATTATAGACTACATGAACACTAAGAAAGTGCGCATTATGATAAATTGGTAAGTAACGCTTTCATCTCAAAGCGTGTCACAATTTTTTTACTTTTCTGATAACTGTGTATTAGTTGTCAGTAATCCGAAACGATACGCTTGGATTTACATCATAAGAAGTACGTGTTTAATTTTTAAAGCTAAAATTATTTTTAATCTTCAATAATCGCTTCCAGAGCGATAGTTTATTTTAAATGTCTATTTAGTACGCACATTCTGTCCGAATACTTTTAACGATTCCATCACTTTAATATAGTTAAATTTTGTGCTTTGTTAAATACATAAGGTACTTTTTATTTTGTGAGAGTTTGGTATGATGGAAAAATTAACCTACGAACCACTGTGTTTTGTCAAATTTCGGATCAGTCTAATTAATTTTTATGATGTACATTAGGATAAATAACCCCTGAAAATGTACTTGATTCTGTTGTAAAATAATGATTTTTATTTATTGAAGATTGCTGTCATATGATTATGAAAGTAATTTTAAACATTCAATAAACAAACGAAACGATTGTATGTATTTTAATTAACTTTAAAAATTTAACAAAAACTTGAACAATAAAAAGTGCAATAATCTGCAGTAAGTAAAAGGTTATGAGTAAATTCGAGTTATTTCTTAAGAACTTAGATTTTTCTAAAGGTTTTAAGAGTTTTCATGTAGATTTGATAAGTAAATAAGTAATTTTTTTTAATAAAATTAAAAACTCGCAAATATAAACAAAAAAGAAGAAACTGTTTATTTAGAAAAGAAATAAGTCCCTTCATTTAATTATGTTATTTTTTAGCGAGTCAGTTTTCTATTGTTAACAAGTTGTGATTATTATACAATCCAACGTGTACATTTTATTAACTATCTAAATTATTAACTATCAAAAAGAAGTGAAGTACAATGCCTTCACGTAAAAAAGTGTAAAAATTACGAAACTGATTTTTAATAAGCATTCAAAGTTAATTTCATTTTTTTAAAAATTATAAGATTGTTTCCAAAAATTTATGAAATTGTTTCTAATGAATTAAAAATTTTCTCATTATCGTCTTTGGTTATGTATATTAAAAAATCGTCGAACCACTAAAAATATTATATTTATTCAAGTATTAATATACAGTACTAGTACAACACATGTGAGTTTTAACACATTACTAATAAACCGTATTCTAATAACTACAGTTGAATTTTTTGATTTTTTAAGCATGTTGTAATAATATTGAAAAATTCTACTAAAAGAAAAAAATCAACAACGTTTTGAATTTTTATATTATTTTTTTCTGATTTTAATTACTGAACATCAAATATTTTATCATTGGATTAAAACAAGTTGAAAAGTGTGAGTTTGCTGTTACAGCAGTTGTGTGTTGTATATGTATGTATGTTTGTACACACGTCTGAAAAGACATCTTAATTCGAAAAAAATGTCAAAGAAAAATAATTTACCAATAATGACCCTTCATGGAAATTAAAAATATATTTAAAATACAAGTAAAAAAAAACGAGAAGTCTTGGGATAGCAACTGGTATGAAAGAAGGAAATAAAACTGCTAATCAATGTCTTTACTTGTAATAAAATTTGATAAGCTTTTGTTTTGCGTAAAAATATATTTTTATTAAAATAATAACTTTTTACATACATATTCTTACAAAAAGTTTATAAAAATTTTCGTATCATCGGTAATCAATCTAGTCATATCCGTGATATACGTTTCTACAGTTTTATCTCGACGCATACATTAACATAGTTTTTCGACTATACTAATATATTCATAAAAGCAGTTTGTTTAAACAACTATACAAGGCACGTATATTTTGGTATCGATTTATTTGAACAATTATCAAAACGTCAAAATTAGAATTGATTATTAATAAACGATTCTCTTTGGAAAACGTGCCTTTACATGTACTTATTCACGGTACTTAAGTCTTAATTTCCATGGTGTAATATATATTTATATCATAAGTATTAAAATATACATCACATAAGTAAGTCACTAAAAAACACCATAAGAAATTCCATTAAATTAAATCGTTTAACTACTACCTAATTTCACTGCTAAATTTAGTTTTCTTAGAAAATAAAAATGAAAAACGTAAAATTTAAATATCTTTCATTCATAAATAAGTACATACTGCTGAATATTATAAATTATGAGTATTAAAATATCCTATTTAGCTTAGATCGTACCTGACTAGTACTGACTTTTAAATTTCTTCATACAGTTTTATTTAAATACATCTAGTAAATATATATTGCAAATTGAAATATACGTGCGTCTGTTATTTCCACTGATTCATACCGTCAAAACACACGCCAAATCTTAATATTTACTACATTTTTTACCATCTCTTGTCTTTTTTCTCCAATAATTAAGTCATATGCAACTATCGGCATGTGGGTATTCAGCTATTCGCTAAATGCATGTAATGCAATATTACCTAAAAATAGCAAATTTGTGCACCTTCACTGTCTTTTACTGATCCCAGTTAGCTAGCGTCTTATGTAGGCTGAGTCAAAAATAAAAAATTCCAGTGAATCAATTATTAACAAAATGGGTAGTTTTTAAGCATAACGTTAACGAATTACCTTCAAAATTGAATATTTAGGCTCTTCTCTCAAACATCATGCCCCTGGAAATTAAAAATTACGAGTGTAAGTACAGCTAAGAATACTCTTTGAACAATTTTTAGTCTGCACCTAGCATTGGTTTTTATTTAAGTAAAAATGTTAAGTTAATGTCATATTATGTCATTAATAAAAAAATAGGGTATTATATTAATGTATTTAGTATAAAGTTTACCAGTTAAGTACCAGTATAACATCACTCAGCTTGAATTCGTTAATATGCTTTGTTCATATATGAGTATTAAACAGAATAACACTACGAGTGAATTAAAAAACAATTGTAAATGGTGGATGAAAATTGTACAAGTATGATGCGTCAAAAAGTAATTAAAAATTGACCTATTTTAGTTCTGGATCTTACAAATTCGCAAGGCTAACAATTTATTTAAAAGAATACATTTCATTTGTTGCTGTATGAAGCTT